CCCGTCTCCACCCCTGTCCCCTGTGAATTTCTCCTCGTCCTTGATGACTCGATAACAATGGAAGAGGTTGAAGCATTTGTCATTGTGTTGAACCTTGAATGCCTCCAAAGCTTAAAATGCCTACAAAATATTTTCATGCAAGCATATGGGCAAGTGATATGCAAATGAACACGCAAAGAATGATCTTGATGACACAAAAAGGGCGGTTTGCTTGCTATCATACCATGTCTTGCATGCCGATGCCGCTCACGGGGCAGGCCTTGACGCCCTCAAGGGTGGCGCAAACTTGTTGCACTCTTGTTGGATCACCCTCCACCGCTTGAAAATGGAGACCCACCCGCGCGTGCTCACAAATTGGTAAGTTGGAAACTTCTTGCGCTCATGAAACTCTCGGTGGACACGAGTCCAAAAGGTTGAATGCTTTTGCTCGGCGCCCGTCTTGGGGTCTTGTCCAATGTCTCGCCAACACTCGTAAAGAAGCTTGTCCTCGGCAGCTGTGTACGTCTTCGTGCGCTTGCTCTTGCGCTTCAGCTTAGGACCGGCAGCTTGGTTGGCGAGCTCGTCCTCGAACAAAGGCTGCACTTCGATGTCGCACTCGTCCTCTTCCTCTAGCCCGTAGTCGTCCGGGAACTCGTGGTCGAGGGGGAAGCCATCCAGGTCGATGCCGACCTGATCACGCATGAAGGCCGCCTGATCGGGATCATAGCCAGCGGCCGGCGTGAACGTCCCGCGGCCGTCCTGGCTTTGTGTCTCGTCGGGATTGTAGCCAGCACCCGGCGCACCACCCTCGAAGATGAGGTTCTGCATGTAGTCCTCCTCGACGGCGGACGACATTTCCTCGAACAGATTACGGGCGTCCGGGAGCCCGCCGGCCAGCGTCTGTCGCGTGCGTTTCCTCGTGCCGCCGGATGACGAGCCACCGACCACCGGGGTTGCGTTGAGGTCGATGGGCGCGCGCGCGGGCGTGGAAGGCGCGACCACGCTCACGTCGGGCGAGCACTCCCCGAAGAGGCAGGAGGCCTACGGGTAGACGTGGAAGCCGGGGATCGGGCTGCAAGCCGACGCGCGAGGTGAGTCGGGCAGCACCATCCGAGGAAGGGCCGACGAGCCGGTGCTGGCCGCGGCGACGGCGGCTTGGACGAGGCTGTGTTGGCTAGGATTTTACCTCTAGCATGTAAAGCGCCTCCCTCGTTGCCGCCGCGACGCGGGCGTTAGTGAACTCCTACTGCGCGGCGGCGACGACGGCGGCCTATGCGGCGGCCTCATCCCTCGCATCTGTGGCATGCCTCCGGCCCTTCCTTTTGGCCGACTCCCTTGCCCGCTGTTCGGGCTTTAGCGTCTTCTTCGGCTTGGTCGTGGTGGCGGTCTTGCGCGGGGCACGAGGCTTGTATTTTCCGGAGGGGGCGGCGGCGCTGGACGAGGCGAGGAAGGCGAGGCCGCCGCCGGCGGCGAGGTCGATGGCGTCGTCCATGGCTGGTTGAGGACGGGAGCGTGCGCGGGCGGGAGTGTTTTTGGGAGAAAATGTGGGAAAATGATGGTGGCTCCCATCGACACGCGGGCCCGGGGAGAGGAGTAGGCGCGCGCGCGTTCATCTCGTGTCCGCGCCGACGCAAATCTCAAAATTAGGCCGGGAATGGATCACCCGCGGACAAAAACGGACGCGCGTTCGTTTGGATAGGCAACCGCCATTTTTATCCGCGCCGACTCAAACGGACGCGGACGGACGAAATGAGTCGGTCCATTAGAGTTGCTCTAATAGTTATAGTTGATACTCCAGCAATGCTACATCAACGGTCTCTTACGGGCATTTTACA